TATTACTTAGTTTTTTTCATGGCCGAATTTGTTTACACGCTTACATTCAATCAAGCCGAGCATGTGTTAATCTTAGGACCAAAAAAAGTCCCAAGTTGTGATTGCCAACGATTAAAGAACTATTTTTATGAGAGTAAGTTCCATTTGGATAAATAGCTCTATTTTAACTTTTAAAGGCTTTTTACCCTTGCGATAAGCAAGGGTTTTGCAATCGGTTACTAGACTTTTTTCCCGTGAATAATTTAGGGACAGAAATATCAATTGTGGAATGATTAATTTCAGACATGCTCAATTGAGATTCTGACATGCTTCTGGGATTAAAATTGAGGAATTTTTTTTTCAATTTTTTTATTCTTCAATTTATTTACGAGGAAAACTGTTTTCAAATCTATCTAAGTTACTATTTGTGTCGCAGAACTAAGCTTTCGTTCAGATCCTCTGAACGAACAAAAAACGACGCAGTTTGAAAAAAAACAACTGTTTTTTTTTGCCTTCGGAGATATCTGTGCCACTTGCACAGAAACCTATCCTTGTTGATATATATTTTCACGTCGCTTGGCTTGTATGTTTTTATGTGAAATGAAATTGATTGATTTCTTCAAGTTTATCTCCAAAAAAGATTGGGAAATATAGAAATGTATTGGTTTAAGATAATTGTTTTGTTTAGTCAACATTCCGTTCTGAGAATCTTCTATCAGAGTAATTGCTTTGTATTGCACTGTCGTGAAAATAGATACAGGTCTAAGCTATTACTTAGTTTTTTTCATGGCCGAATTTGTTTACACGCTTACATTCAATCAAGCCGAGCATGTGTTAATCTTAGGACCAAATAAAGTCCCAAGTTGTGATTGCCAACGATTAAAGAACTATTTTTATGAGAGTAAGTTCCATTTGGATAAATAGCTCTATTTTAACTTTTAAAGGCTTTTTACCCTTGCGATAAGCAAGGGTTTGCAATCGGGTACTAGACTTTTTTCCCGTGAATAATTTAGGAACAGAAATATCAATTGTGGAATGATTAATTTCAGACATGCTCAATTGAGATTCTGACATGCTTCTGGGATTAAAATTGAGGAATTTTTTTTTTCAATTTTTTTATTCTTCAATTTATTTACGAGGAAAAGTGTTTTCAAATCTATCTAAGTTACTATTTGTGTCGCAGAACTAAGCTTTCGTTCAGATCCTCTGAACGAACAAAAAACGACGCAGTTTGAAAAAAAAAAAACTGTTTTTTTGCCTTCGGAGATATCTGTGCCACTTGCACAGAAACCTATCCTTGTTGATATATTTTCACGTCGCTTGGCTTGTATGTTTGTATGTGAAATGAAATTGATTGATTTCTTCAAGTTCATCTCCAAAAAAGATTGGGAAATATAGAAATGTATTGGTTTAAGATAATTGTTTTGTTTAGTCAACATTCCGTTCTGAGAATCTTCTATCAGAGTAATTGCTTTGTATTGCACTGTCGTGAAAATAGATACCGGTCTAAGCTATTACTTAGTTTTTTTTCATGGCCGAAATTGTTTACACGCTTACATTCAATCAAGCCGAGCATGTGTTAATCTTAGGACCAAAAAAAGTCCTAAGTTGTGATTGCCAACGATTAAAGAAATATTTTTATGAGAGAAAGTTCCATTTGGATAAATAGCTCTATTTTAACTTTTAAAGGCTTTTTACCCTTGCGATAAGCAAGGGTTTTGCAATCGGGTACTAGACTTTTTCCCCCGTGAATAATTTAGGAAGAGAAAAGTCAATTGTGGAATGATTAATTTCAGACATGCTCAATTGAGATTCTGACATGCTTCTGGGATTAAAATTGAGGAATTTTTTTATTTTTTTTTATTCTTCAATTTACTTACGAGGAAAACTGTTTTCAAATCTATCTAAGTTACTATTTGTGTCGCAGAACTAAGCTTTCGTTCAGATCCTCTGAACGAACAAAAAACGACGCAGTTTGAAAAAAAAACAACTGTTTTTTTTTGCCTTCGGAGATATCTGTGCCACTTGCACAGAAACCTATCCTTGTTGATATATATTTTCACGTCGCTTGGCTTGTATGTTTGTATTTGAAATGAAATTGATTGATTTCTTCAAGTTTATCTCCAAAAATGATTGGGAAATATAGAAATGTATTGGTTTAAGATAATTGTTTTGTTTAGTCAACATTCCGTTCTGAGAATCTTCTATCAGAGTAATTGCTTTGTATTGCACTGTCGTGAAAATAGATACCGGTCTAAGCTATTACTTAGTTTTTTTTTCATGGCCGAATTTGTTTACACGCTTACATTCAATCAAGCCGAGCATGTGTTAATCTTAGGACCAAAAAAAGTCCTAAGTTGTGATTCCCAACGATTAAAGAACTATTTTTATGAGAGTAAGTTCCATTTGGATAAATAGCTCTATTTTAACTTTTAAAGGCTTTTTACCCTTGCGATAAGCAAGGGTTTTGCAATCGGGTACTAGACTTTTTTCCCCGTGAATAATTTAGGAACAAATGTCAATTGTGGAATGATTAATTTCAGACATGCTCAATTTCTTGAAGTTTCAAATAAAACTGCTTTCATATAGGTAATGAATTGGTGTAGTCCGTTTCCCGTGTTTTTTTTTCAAATAATTTTCTTGAAAAAATGTTTCAAGAAATTTTTTTCGGATTTCTGGTTTTCGGCCTAGTTTTCGACTGTTCGATTCCCGCTTTTTTAATATAACTATTTTCACGTTGTTTTTTTTCTGCTTTTTTGTTAAGCATGGTTTTTATTTTGATTTTGAAATTGGTGTTGAAAATTTATTAATTGTCATTTTATCAAGTCTGATTTTTATTAATTTCTATTATTTCTAATAAACAGTTTGGTTTGTTTTATGGCATAATTACCTTTGTGATAAGCAAGGGTATTGCAATCAGGCTCTAGGCTTTTTTTCCGTGAGCAATTGCGCACCTCAGAACTCATTACACTACTGGTAGTACCTTGTTTCTTCAAATTTTGTAGTGTCTTTTGCACACTTCGCTTGGTGTTTGTGAATACGCCTGGGACGGCAAAGGTTCGAATCTGACCTTTATCTGACCAAACGATAAAGGAATCTTTATCTGACCAAACGATAAAGGTTCCGGTTCAATAAAAGTTTGGCCTATTATTTGTCTGCTTATATTTTGTCGGCTTAGTTGCCACATCTAAGAATTGTTTATTTTAGCTGTGAAAAATTTTCACTACAGTTTTTTTTTAGCATTTCATATTTAAATTTGGCCGAATTGGTTGTGATTTTACCAGCTCGATTTGTTAAAATTTCACCTTTTTTCATTTTTTTTCGTCTATTTATCGGCCTAATAAATTTCGGCTGAAATCATATAGTGGCCTCTTATTGCGTCGCTTGTCCGAAAAAAGTTTTCTTGCGCGTGTGTGTGCTCAGGGAAAAAGGACGTAACATTTTTTTTATGTTTAGATTTTTTTCGACTTTTTTACGGCATGAAGGGTTTCTGCTCAGATTTTTTTGGCTTTGTTACCGCTAACTAGTTATAAATTCAATTCCATTTGGCGTAGAGGTAAAACAACTGCTTGAGGTAGCAAAGATTTGCGGTTCGAATCCGGCCGGGCCCTTTTTTTGCAAACTAGAGGCTAATTTAGCTAATGTTGGCTAATTTAGCTTATTGTCCGTCTTCTTAAATCCACTGAAAGGGTTTTTTGAAAAGTTGGCTTCTGTATAGCATTGCCAAAGCACGTTTTAGAGATTGTAATGGTGCAGGTAATTTTGTTCCCGATATTTTGGGCTGTTGTTGCATTTTTTTTTGTCAAAAAACCTTTTTTTTGCATTTTCCGTTTGATTTTCATAGTCATTCGTATTTGTATCACAAGTGGTGCGAAGCTCAGTTTCGCCTCTGTGTGAACTTGCGTTGCGTTTTTTTCGAAGGCCAGAATTCCTGTTCGACAAAATCACTTGCTTTTTTTAATGAACCTCTCAGTTCCTTCCCACTTGGCCTAGAGTTAACGCCGTTGCTTTTGTACGCTTCGGTCAGGGGTTCGACTCTCGGTCGGACCTTCTTTGTTCCAGTATTTATGCAATTGAAAAATTAAATTTTAGTAAAAATTGAGTTGTTGGACTTCCATTATTCTGCTTAAGTTTTGTCGGCTTAGTTGCCTCATCTCACATCTTGTTTTTCCTGTAAGCATTTTTCATTGCAAGTGAAAGTGTTGTTCTTTGTAGGCTCAGGGAGGAGAACTTGGAAACTTATAATTTTATTTCGGGGCAACAGGTTCCTGCTCAAAGATTGTCGGCATAGTATCACATCACTGATTTTTTTTTGTGCTGTAGGCAACTTCCAATGTAGTTGAAAATGCAAGTGTTGTTCATTCTGGTCTCAGTGTTGTTCAAACAGTAAAGATTTTTTATGAAATCATATTTTTTCTGCTCAACTTGTCGTCGATGATTCCTCTTCCCAAGTTTTGTTCCGTTGCTAATTTAGTACTAACATTTATGCCTTGTGAGCCTTGAATGGACTTCTGTCGAGAAATACGAAAATTTAATTTTTGGTTGAATTAGATTTCCGTTTTTTCGACTTTCTATGTTTGTGTTTAATCGCCAGTGGTGCTTCGCGTCTGTGTTAAAGCTTGTGGCAATAGTGGCGAATTTTTTTCTACTGCTCTACGTGTAGACCTGCTGGGATTTGGTGAAAATACTAAGGGTAACCATTATGTTTTCAGTTCAATATACGGCAGTTTTTTTGCTAAGTGTGTTGGTATTCATTTTTGCTTTTCATGTACCGTTTAGAGCAATTAGCAAAGATTTGCGAGGGTGTAATCTCCTCCGTCTCTGTATAAAAACTGTCAAAACGAAAAAAAAATAATAATTCAGACGAATTTTGTGTACAAAATCCAAAATCTATCGGTTTTTAATCTCTTGTTCAGATTTGGCTGATAATGAAAATTTCAAAATGCAATTCAGTACCGTTAGAGAGTATGTTTTGTCGATATTTCTGTTTCCTGTCAAGTTTTTTTGTTGTTGATTTTTTCAGGGTTGTAATGCAAGTTCTCTGTGGTAGGACATTGGCTGTTAGATCTTATGAGCTGTCTTCGATTTTTATTCGGGTTAGTTTCTGTCGTTGAACTGTTAATACGCATTAATACCAGTCAGAGCAGCTCAATGATTCGAAGATAGTACCAGTTATGTCTTGTTTTTGTTCAGCCGCAGTGGAAATACCGAGCATGTAGGGGAAGCTCTTCTCTCATGAGGTCTCTGGCCATTTCTTCACATCGCTACTTGTCTGCTCAGCCTGATAAGAAACCAGATAAAAGTAAGGCCGCTGCCTGTTTTGAACAGCGTATTTCAGTAGCAGATTTAGACCCAATTTGGTCAAAAAAGGCCTTAAGAGTGATTTGAGAGAGCCCAGGAAATCAATTTGGTCGACCTAAAAATCAGCACGCACCCTAGAAAAATTCCTAGATCGGCGCCTTGCTTACTTTGAATTTAAAAAATGAACTAAAATGTTCTTCTTTATTATCGGTGTGAATTCGAACTTTTTTTAGATCGAGAAAATCAATTTTAGAGCTCTCCCAACTCATCAAATATTAATTGCATGCAAATTTTGAAGATGAATTGTTTATAGTCCGAATAAAATGATTTTCACGCTCTTCCACAACACAAAAAGAATTTGCATGCTTTAATTTCTTTTGGTTTATTTGGTTAAAAATAGATAGCTATAGATAAAATAATGTTATCTATTGCAAAGTTTTTTTTATTTTTGTAAACCTAAAACCTGTTTTAGAGAGCGAAAAGAAAGAAAAGGACAAGGAGTTTGAAGAGTTCATGGATCAGACGTTCAAAAAGTTAGGTGACTTTATAAAGGATAAGATGGAGAATGAGAAGGGAGGAGACAAGAACAAGAAACAGTCGAATAACGAGAAGAAAGGTGAGAATGATGGCTCAGTTTGATTCATAATGTATTTTGTCAATAGTATCTAGGCTTGGGGCTTATCAAAGCAAGAAGACATGAAAACAACAACACATGCTTGCAAAGATATTTCAAAATCATTATCTGACTGGTTTCAAAACAGCTACAGATGACCGATATTCACAAAAGTATTATAAGATTGAGCGCAATTGTTTCGACTACGATGTGGGGGAAAGAACGTTGTCTTCGGTTACAGTTACTTTTAATTTTACCGCAAAATTGGGTACACCAAATAAATCTCAATTTTCCTTAGCAATTTTCCTTTTTTTTAGATCGAGATATGGAATGAATTAATTTTTATGTTCCAGGCGTAACGACCTCTCACTTCTATGTTTTTTAATCTGCGCTGTTGCTTCATTGGGTTTTGATTTAGAAAAAGTTATCTAGATGTTTCAAGTTACTACATGCCTGTGTTGTTTCATGATCTGAAGGTGGTGACGAAAATTCAAGCTGGTCTACAGCATTGTTTGCGTTGAGTGCAGTTGTGGTATGTGTGCTTCTTATTAGGATCAATTCAGTCAAATCATATCAGTATATGAAATTTTATTCCATTCATTTTAGGCCTTGTATTTGATGGCCCGATCAGCTAACTCGAAGGGTGAAATGACCTGGACCGAGTTTACAATGGCCCTAAAACAAGGAAGGGTTAGTTTTACTGACTTTTTTGGAAACCAGAATGTTGGTCAATAAACCATTGTTAAAGAACAGATATTTTTACCATATCACACTTCTAAGCTATGTGGTAAGATGTTTCAAGGTTTGATTAGTATCATTATGTCTGTAATGCAGTATGTCTACTAGAATAATTTTTCAAGTGTTAATGAACGTAGTGACGACAGCAATATGGATAGTGTCGTTTTTTTTTAGTAAAAAGTCTTCAAATTTGTGCAAACCAAATTTTATGTTTCGCTTTTTGACTTTTGGTTTGTTTTTAAGTTCAATTCGAATTGACTTGCTAAAAGGAAGGCAAGTTAAGCTCTCTAATTACAGAAGCAACAAATGGCGCGAACAAAAGTGAAGAACTTGTAGTTTCAAAAGTGGATTTCAAAGGAAAAAAGTTGATTTATATCCAATTTTCTAAATGGGGTTATTGATACCGGGGACAATTTTCAGATTTTTCTGGCTTTCTGAAAAAAATTCAGAGCTTTAAGGCCATATATACTTTCTTCGAAATTGAAAAGTTGTAGTTGCCTGAAAAAACAAGTCGTCATTTTTCGGTTTCCTTGCGTTTATTGGGACGCTTTTCCAACTACCTGTTGGCTATGTTTAGGTTTCTCAAACCCAACTGATTCTTAGTCATTGGGCGTGGAGTTCAATTTTTGGACTATTATAGGCGGGCGAGCTTAGTGTGAATAATTGTTTTGTATGTAGATTGCTAAAATTGATATAATCAACAGAAGCTACGCAGTTGTGTACATGGACTCTGATAGCGAGTTCTCCAGCGGGACGCGTCAGTGGATAAACATAGGCAGTCCAGACATGTTCGAAATGCGGGTGTCTCAGACGGCGAAGGACTTAGGTCTGGACCAGATGCACACCCCACCAATTCAATACAAGACGGACATTTTGAGCTCCATTTTTAAGTAAGAGCGAGTGCACCTTACCTTGTTATATATTGTGTCCCTGTGTGTGGTGGTTATTAAGTTGCAAGCGAACTAAAAGTAGATTTCATAAGTGCAACACTGGCAATGTTTCATTGGTTTTTTATGATTTTTAGAACACCAGAAGAATCTGAAAATTGTCTTCGGTATCAATAACCTGCATTTTATGTCTAGATGTTCTTTTTGTCGTTGATTGGAATCGGAGAGGGTTAGGAGTTTACAGATAATTAAAATGAAAATTTTATATGCTGATTTCGACGAAAAGTAAGCCGAAAATGGCAAATGAAGGCTTGCCGCGCTGAACTTACATTATTAAGGGAAGCTTGGTTTGATTCAAACATAATCTGATTTTTTCTCTGTTCCGAATTAATGAACGTTCCGGAGAAAATTAAGTGTTGCTGATTTGTTTCTCTTATTGAAGCTGAGATTGTGTTGATGCTTTTATTAAAATGAGACATATTTTCGTGAAGAACGCTCCTGGAGTTTGGATTCAGCATTGGGTCGTTGCTTCTGGCATTCTACCTGCTGAATCGGTTCATGACGGGTCGCATTGGCAAGAGTGGAGGAGGAATGGGTGGAATGGGAAGTATATTCAACCCTGCTGGACAGGGACACTCGAAAGTAGTTACTGAGAATACAGGAGTCAAGTTCGCGTGAGTAGAGCTGGAAACTCATGGTTCCAAATATTAACTATGGCTGTGGCTTTTTAAATTGAAGATAACTAGCTGTTTTAAAATAAATTTTTCACAAGATGTATTTTATAAAAGTAGTTTAGCAACGATTATTTGTGGATCCGGCTCTAAATTTTGATCCAGTTAAAATTCGCTTCTCATTTTTTCGCTTCTGGCTGTTTTTTGGTGAAATAGTTAATGTGAGTTGCGGTTGATTTTATCTGCAGAGATGTGGCTGGATGTGAGGAAGCTAAGATTGAAATCATGGAGTTCGTCAACTTTCTCAAGAATCCCCAACAGTACACTGCTCTGGGTGCCAAAATACCCAAAGTAAGACTCCCTGCCTCCCACAATATGATAAAAGCATTGTATGCGTTGCCAAGTTCAGCTAACTTGAATCGAAAGAGGCCACTAAGTTAGAACAGTATATGACTTGAATTTGACGTTTAGTTGGATAACAAAAACACTACAGATGTTATCGACTCCTAAAAATAATTAATAATTTAATTTCCAAAAATATGCAAACAAAAACTTGGGAGAAAAGGCGTAAAGTGTCGAGTGACTCAAGAGCAAAGATCAGAAAGAGAAGAAAAATCAATTATGCACGCTTCACTCAGCTAATCATTTAAAAATATTTATGTTACCACATAGAAATGCTGTTCTAAGTCCGAATAAGCATAGCCGGTTGCTGTGCAAGTAGCACAGAATGTTCCAACCATATTCATCAAAAAATAGAAACATTTTTTATTTTTCTTCGAATTAGTGTAGTTTTCAGTTGGTGGCGTGATTCGAGAACTACACAATTGCATAGAAATATAGTGTAATAGGATTGTTCGACAACATTTGTCCTCAAAAGATTTTTAAAAAAATAATAAAAAAATGAAAAAAAAAATTGAAAAATTTTTCTAATTTTTTGCACAATAATTTCAAGTTAGTTTTCGAGTAACTCGATCGAGTAACGCTCGTTATATAAAAATTCACTCTTTGAGGAAAAAAAAATTAATTTAAAGATGAAATCTTTAAATTGAGTTTTTTATCGTAAAAGAGTAAATTAGAAAAAAATTTAGAATTTTTTTTCATTTTTTTAAATCTTTTGAAGACAAATGTTGTCGATATATCCTATTTCACTAATTTTCTATGCAAATGTGTAGTTCTCGAATCACCCACCAACTAAAAATGCACTTATTCGAATAAAAATAGAAAAATACTTTGTTTCTTTTTTTGATGAGTATTTTTGATGTTACTCGCTCGAACTTAATCTAAATCTCAAAAATTTCAAACCAGTTTTTCTCAACACTGAGATTTTAAAATATTGTTTTAGTTACAACTGAAAGAGCTTCAATATGATATATGACTCGACCATTTCCGATGTTTATTTGTGGTGCCTGATTTTACGTGGAAAATAAAAAAAGAAAACACTAAAATACACCCGAATACAAAGTTCCTCCGCATATTCAATGGTCGGAACAATGAAAATGATAGGAAAATAGGGGAAAAGCACAGACATTAAGAATTTTGAAGCCTATTTTATAGCCCTAAAATCATATTTAGCCTTCATTCATACTATATGAGCAAGCAAAATACGTTCCATCTAATTATTCTAGGGCGCAATGTTGACTGGGCCGCCTGGAACTGGAAAAACGTTGCTGGCGAAAGCAACTGCAGGAGAGGCAGGAGTCCCATTCATTTCAGCTAACGGATCTGAATTTCTTGAAGTCTTTGTAGGAGTCGGCCCACAGAGGGTTCGTTATGGAACATCTTTTGAAAAATAGTCTTTATGGAAAACGTTTTCGTGAATGTTAATGAATTTTTGGATGCAGATTTTGATTGTAAGAAATATTTGGCTGAGTAGAGAACTGATCAATTTGCATTGTGCTGTCACAGGTTTTTGAAAGCAATGACATAACAAAAGCGCAGACGTTAAATTCTCAATTAATAAATAGAAACACTGATTTGTCAAAAACATAAGGCAAGAGACGGCAAAAACGGCTGATTTGAACAATGAGGCTCAACGAGTTATTCAACGTTTTTCTTAAGGTGCGTGAGTTGTTCAAAACAGCTCGGGAAAAAGCGCCAGTGATTCTGTTTATCGATGAAATTGACGCCATCGGTAGAAAGAGATCGGGAGGTATGATGGGAGGCAACAGCGAGCGGGAGAACACTTTGAACCAGCTGCTGGTGGAGATGGACGGATTCAATACATCGGCTGACTTGCCAGTGATAGTATTTGCAGCTACTAACAGGGGAGATGTACTGGACCAGGCACTGTTGCGACCAGGCAGGTTCGACAGAAAGATCGAAGTAGGGCTGCCGGACATCAAAGGAAGGTGAAATAGAGCTCTTGTGAATCAAATAAGTTGATCAGATAATTACGAAAGCTATTTTTATTATTTAACAGAGGAACAACTGCAAAGCTATTTTTGCACAATATTGATAGTAGAGTCGGTGGAATCCCTCATAGGCGAAGGGCAGACTGGGCGAAATCAAAAATCAGCCAATCAGATTTCAGTATTCTAAAATTTGGAAAGAAAGCGAGAAAATCTTGAAGGAAGTTAAACATTTCTGTGGGGACTTAATATTATATAGGCCGAATAAAAAATAAAAAACGGCAGAAATATGCAAAGCCTTCAAATTGTCATTGACCGCCGGCGAATTGGAACAAGTTTTATTTTTTTTCAAGGGTTTTGTTAGAAAAGAAGCAAAATATTGCTTCATTTAATTCCTTTTAGTTGAACAGCAATTGATTCATTTTAATAATCAACTTTCGATTGTTTTTGTTTTTAGTCTTTCGCCCATGAGTTTTTCGCCCATTCGGTCCTTCGCCCATGAGAATAGACCCCATGTGCATGAATTTTTCGTCAGGGGCTCGATTCATATATAATTTAGGGACCCCCCAGTTTTGCGTTGCTGCATAGGGAAGCTAATTTAGAATGCTTCCGTTAATTCGCATAGAAATTGGACTTTTTTTGCTTAGAGCATCAATCTGTAAAGTACATCTGAAGCCTTTGACAATGGAACTTGACAAAGCTGAATTTGCGAAGAAGCTCTCGGCACTGTTGCCGGGCTTCTCAGGGGCGGACATTGCGAACGTGTGCAACGAGAGCGCTCTCATAGCCGCGAGGGAGGGGTCCAATCACATCAACGAGAAACACTTCGACTCCGCCATTGGCCGGGTGGTGGGAGGTTAGTCAAGAATAGTAGTAGGATATGACACTGAAAAGTTGGATATGACAAACCGTGCGAAGAAATAGCGTGACTGAACGATGAGAGTAACTGATGATGGAACAATTTATTAATATTGAAAGAAGCATTTTTTAAGATCTAACCTACCTATGAAAATCCACTTGTGATCACGTTAAATTTATCAGATTTTTTTCATAAAATTTGCTTTGACAAAATCTTCTGCGTTAATAGCCGCAAATTTTGGGAAACAGCTTTTGTCGAAGGTAAGAGAAAAAATGATGACCATGGAAACTGTATATTATTGATTTAGGACTGGAGAAGCGTTCTCGGGTGCTGCAGGAACATGAGCGAAAAACAGTGGCGTACCACGAGGCAGGCCACGTTATTGCAGGATGGTTTTTCGAACACGCAGAACCAACTTTGAAGGTGAGAATTAAGATTATTTTTTATTTACTCAAGATCAGTGAGATCCTGAAAGCAGGAATTGAGCTTACTGCAGTAGGGTTCGGTATAACTGCGTTTCGTCTATAGCAGGAGAGACACAGGTTGAAGTTTAAGCCTGAAGGTCTCCGAGCTAAAAATGGTACCGAATTTTTTCATTCATCGCGAAATTTGTCCAAGTCGTTATTATTTTTGTAGGTGTCGATTGTGCCGAGAGGGAGGGCCCTTGGCTACGCCCAGCTGACACCCAAGGAGCTCTATCTGTACTCGACTGAGCAAATCTTCCACCGCATGTGTCAGCTGTTCGGCGGTAGAGTGGCTGAGGAAGTGTTTTTCGGACGCATTACCAGTGGCGCCCAAGATGACCTACAGAAGATCACCAATATGGCATACTCTCAGGTTAGTTCCAGATCTGGAAATGAAACAAGTCAAAATGACTGGGGCCACAAAATTGTTTGAAACACTGAAACGTAAGAAAAATTTAGAGATAGATAAAAGTAGTATGCCCTGAAGGAATAATTTTCTCGAAGGGGGTTTGGATTTTGAGAAGCTGGCGATTATCTGAATTGATATTAAACTCACGAACCACTGACAAGATCGTAATTTGCCAAGACAACTGAATTGATATTACAAACTTACGAACCACTGACAAGATCGTAATTTGCCAAGACAACTGAATTGATATTACAAACTCACGAACCACTGACAAGATCGTAATTTGCCAAGACAACTGAATTGATATTACAAACTCACGAACCACTGACAAGATCGTAATTTGCAAAGTTTATCAGCACCGCAGACGAACTTTTGAAGAATGCTGTTGAGAACAGAAATATTTCGAAGGTTTTGACTGAAAGAATTACTATAAATTGATGCCTCAGAAAAACTTAGTTGATCGGTCAAAAACGGATGAAAATACAATATTCCAACCAATCCCTGACGGAAGGGGTGTTCACAATTCCTCTTTAAGACGCTGCTGCTGTATGATGAGCTCCGAAATTATTATCGGGCTGCGGGTTTTGAATTCTACACGGAGTTATTTTTCGTTGCCTGCTATTTTAATCTTTCGATTTGCAATTTTCGATGTCTTGTGATAAAAGCTGTCAATGGTATGAATGCTTGTTCAGCAAAGAAAACAATTTTCAACATTCCTAAATTTAAAATATTGCTGGTCGATTAAAATTCTCAAGGGTGACTCTTTAAGGTTGTGATGTGGGGAATGGACGAACAGGTGGGTCCGGTGTCCTTTGACATGCGGCAGACCCAGGAGAATTTCGGCCAGAAACCTTACAGTGACGAGACTGCCCGACTTATCGACGAACGAGTACGCAAAATAGTGCGAGAGGCACACAGTGCAACGACCGAAATGCTTCAGCAACACAAAGAAAAGCTAGCTGCGCTGGCGGAAAAACTAATGCTCAAGGAAATCCTGTCAAAAGAGGAGATTGCGGATATTATTGGTCCGAGACCGTACGATACAAAGAATACTTATGATGAATTAGTGGAAGGCACTGGAGGAACAGAAGAGAATACAGAATTACCGGAAGGTCTGAAAAATTGGAATAAGTCTTCCGAAGAGTCCTCATCAGACAGCGAAACTACCAGTGAAGAGAATAGCAATCAGAAGAAAGACGTCTAGTGTTGAAAAAATATTCACATTCAATGCTGATGTTGAATATTACGTTTTTTCGTTTGCTAAACTGAATAGCGTTTAGAACTCGATTATTTTCTCCTTAAGTATTAGTAGTATCTTAATTGAAATCTGTGCAATGCGACTTTATAGTTCATTCTAATTGAATTATTTTGCACCGAATTTTCGGATATTAAATGTTAAGATTATAGATGGAGTCGCGTCATGAAAGAGACCGAATGTTAGAAAACAAATAGCGATAAGCGGATGTGTGTCGTCTAGCATAAAAGTTGAATCTGATAACTCAAATATTGTCAAAATAAGAATTTAGGCGGTGATCAGAACTGCAAGTTTCAATTTGAACGGATCATTATCACTGGAATTGAATTTCAGAGAAAAAAGCTATAAAATTATGCTAGTTGATATGTTTTTATCTTTTCGAACTTTTAAGCTAGTCGAGATTTTTTGCTAAACGAGCTGTCACCGCAATTATTTCAAAGTAAGAAATGAACCCAGGTGACTGACATTAAAATGCCAGACATTGCCAGATCGAAAACGCATTCAAAAAACGTTGCTAAGATTCCGATTTAAGAAAAAGGAAAAACAAAGCAAAACATTTTTTTTAAAGATGCACGGATTGTGATGAAAAACTTTGCTTTAACGTTATAACTCATTTTCTGCTATTTTCACTTCCGTTTAGTGCATTCGATCCTTCTATCTTGAGAAATCCGACCTTAAGGTCAGATAGCTTCAGGATGTACATTGAATCGATAGTTTTTATTGCTGATATAGTGCTGATTTGAATTATCCGAACAAAACTTCAAACTTTAAATTTGTTTTTCTCCAGTTGGGTTAAAATTCTACGCAAGTTTTGTTCTGATTAGACAAAAAGTGAAGAACAAAAATTGCTTAGAATTTCAGCAAAATCATTATGGTGCAATTATTTCTGCAAAATTCGCAACCATAATTTTAACCCAAAATGGGGCAGTTTTGATTTTTTCTAGTTCATTACGCTTGCGATTAACAAGCATCATCAAATGGGAATACAGACTTTTTTGGGCTAACAACTAGTTACACCGAAGACTTTAGTCAAGGTGTTATGGTATCGTGTAACGGGTTTTTTTTTTTAATGTTGTCTGTTGTCAAGTGTCGACAAATAACGTCCACAGTTATCAATTATCATGTGGGCGTGACTATATCGCGCTATGTCACGTGATTGCGTATGTTTGTTTCTTTATTTGTTCATCTTTATTTATTTAATTATCTGTTCTTCTATTTATTTAATTATGTTTAGTTTGCTTATATTTATTTATAATTTATGTATGTACATATTTATTTTTGTTTATTTTTATCACGTGTTTTGTTTATTTTTTTAATTATTCTTTCTTTCATTTAGTTTTGCTTTTATTATTTCTGCGTGTGTATTTATTTAATTTATTTATTTTCATTTATTTATATTATGGGTCTGTTTGTTTGGTTATTTGTTCATATATATTTTTTCATGTCTATTTAATTATTTGTACATTTCACTTTTGCTTTTATTTATTTATATATTTATTTATTTATGTATTCATTTATGTATTTATTTATTTATTTATTTATGTATTGATTTATTTTTTTATTGCTTATTTATTTATCAGGTGTGTTTTGTTTATTTGTTGATATTTATTTCTATATTTATTTAATTATTCTTTCTTTCATTTAGTTTTGCTTTTATTATTTCTGCGTGTGTATTTATTTAATTTATTTATTTTCATTTATTTATATTATGGGTCTGTTTGTTTGGTTATTTGTTCATATATTTTTTTTCATGTCTATTTAATTATTTGTATATTTCAGTTTTGCGTTTATTTATTTATTTATTGATTTATTTTTTTATTGTTTATTTATTTATCAGGTGTGTTTTGTTTATTCGTTGATATTTATTGCTATATTTATTTAATTATTTTCTTTCATTTAGTTTTGCTTTTATTTATTATTCATGTATGTATTTATTTATTCATTTATTTATTTATGTTTATTTATTTTTGGTTTGTTCGTTCATTTGTTGGTTTGTTCGTTCATTTATTTATTTATTTAGTTAGCGTCTTTGTTGTTTGATTGTGAAATTTGATGTTTTACTTCTTAGCTATGTAGTTAAAAGCAAAAAATGATTTTCAATTTATTGTTCTGTTTAGGAAATTTCAGAAAGATCTGTATATCACCAATTAGCGTACAACGATTTACAGGGAACGCTGCCAACGAGATTTGTCCACTTGCTTTTGGGTTGCAGCTACATCAAAAATGATTTTAAATTATTTATTTTAAAGATTTATCTATAGTTATATCTGTCCGGTAATTAATTTTCAAATTAGCTTTTGTATTTCTCAAAAAAGAATTTGTTGGAGCGTGGACTCAATAACGTAAAGCAAAATGTTAAATTTTATGTTACTTCTATTTTCAGTCATGTAATGGAGCCATTTCGACCCACGGGCATTGCAAATGATGACAACAGTTGCTATCTCAATTCTGTTCTTCAGCTTTTGTTGTCAAGCGCTTGCATCAGAGATCGGCTCAGTAGACTTACTGAATTTGACCATGGTGGCGTGTTAATTTCAACTGTGAAAGAGATATTTTGTCAAATGCTGTCCACAGAAAACTTTTTCATCAATGCGTCTACTTCCAAAGTTAAAATTCTCCAGCATCTTGATTTGAATTACAGCTTCTCATATACCTATGGACATCAGCACGATGCTTCCGAGGTACTACTGTCAATTATCAATGCATTTAAATCTGAGGGCCAATGGAATTTCTTTGAAATATCGTATTCAGATAATTTCACGTGTTGTCTGTGTAATGTGTCATGGAGAAGACCTGAAACTACTTCTGCGTTAGTTTTAAGTCCTCCACGCAATGGTCAACTTCTGCAGGAGCTTGTGGTCAATCACTTCGCCAACCAAGCCGTTAATGTAACATGTCCAAACTCCACGTGTATCTCAGAAAGGGCAATAACAACTAAAGAACCAACCCATATTGCAAATACTGTTATTTTGCTGATTGCGCGTTACATGTTTGTCGCTGGCAATCGCGTTTACTCTAGAGCAGAAGTCACAATTGGTGAAACAATCGAAATTGGTGGATGTGATTACGGAGTAAAGGCTGCTGTTATTCACACGGGGTCTTTTGAATACGGTCATTACTTTACTGTCATAAAAACCGCTCATGAGTACCTTTGCGTTAACGATTGCACCATATCGCACCACCATGTCCCTGATTGGGGTTGTACTTATGTTATTCTTTGTGAAAAGAAAGATATGTATCCAACACCCGCTGCCAATATTATGCTGCTGGACAATTTATCAAATAACACTTGTGGTAATGTTAAGAAATTAACAAAGTCAAAGATGGATCGGAAAGTGTACCAGGCAGAATGGGCACGAACGAAGCGCGAGAAGGCGAAGACAATAAACCACACAAATAGTTTGTCGCAAAATTCAGTTCCCAGTCACGTGGATCTAACACCAGTCTCCATTGAGTTTGGCGGCCACAATTTTTGATAAAAAGAACTCAAAAAGAGAATACAATCGGCAGCGTTTGGAACGTTTGCGTAAGAGTCCATATTTTGTGGAGCAAGAGCGCGTATCACAGCGAACAGATTCCATTGGTCAAGTGCGAACTGACCGCAAGCAAGAATATAATCGACAGCGATTGAGCAAATTACGAGTTTTGCCAAATTTCAAAGAACACCAACACTTGTCAAGAAGTAACGAACAATATAAGATTCTAAAGACAAATGTTGTTAAACAACATTTCCGAAATAACCCCCAGTACGAAGCTATAAATCGATTGAGAAGTCAACAAAGAATGAAGATTCCTAACGTTCTTGCTAAAAACAAAGAGATGGCTTCCAAACGTGCCAAATCAGCAGGAGTGAAAAAGCGAATTGTCAGTCGCAGAAAAATAAAACCTAGGCAAAAACTTCCGCCGAGTATTAAACAACTAGTGAGAAGGTGGAACAGAAAAATTTTAGACAGTTGCCTCCAATTTGTTTGCACATGTTGTTCTCAGCAAAAGTACAGAGACCAAGTAACACCAGTTACGAACAAGACTGGTTTATTTCAACGTTGTTGTACTGATTACATGTCTGTTGATAACATAGAATGGATATGTGTGTCATGCTCTCGTCAAATTAGAAAAGGCCTAGTTCCAGAAATGGCTGTTCTTAATGGTTTTAAATATGCAAGTATTCCGTTACAGTTCTCTGTCACCAGACTCGAAGAGTTACTTTGTTCTGCGCGTATTCCTTTCATGAAAATATTCTCAAGGCCCAGAGGGGGACAGTATGCTTCGAAGGGTGCTGTTGTTAATGTCCCCAGTAACATTGACCATACCCTCAAAATATTACCACGCCCTGCTAATGACAACTGTTTGCTTTCCGTTGACTTGAAGAGACGCACAACTGATAAAACTACTTACCTCAGTCGATATATTCGCCCTAAGCTTGTTCACGAATTTGCTGAATGGCTGTGTTTGCAGCCATTGTACGTTTCAGAAGGCATTATCTATGACTCATCGATAACCATGCAATTGGAGTTACCACCTAACATTGAAATGGAATCTGATGAATCTGACGAAAGTAGCGAGGACGGTGAAATAGCAGGCTCCTTTGACACCTTGCTCAACTCGCGGCCTCTTATGGACATCAGTCTAAAAACTGTAACTGCTCCAACATCGGGTGAGACTCCATTGTCAATATTCACTGATGAATTTGGCTAGGAATATGCGTATCCAACCCTTTTTGCTGGCCAAGCGCGTGCTCGCAATACAGAGCGTATCCGAAGTGTTTCATACAAGAATATTTGTAAAGCAGAAATGCAAAACGTCAACAGAAAGTTTGCCCGTCATTCTGACAACCTCTTTTTCAAGACGAAAAAATGCGTCATCAAACGAGTCTTTAGTAATGCGCAAGTCGCTGTCCGCAAAAGACATGGCCAAAATTTGCGAGCTTCTGATGTTAAAGGCCATTCACTGCGTAATCTGTTCGACACAGACAAAGCATATGCATTTCTTGCGATTGAACGTTTCAGTCCACCGTACTTTGCCAAAATGGAAAAGAATTTTATGGCTCTCATTCGACAAAATGGCCCGCCGTCTCTGTTTATGACTTTCTCAATGGCGGAAGCCCATTGGACAGATCTTTTGAA